TGTTTCGATCATTTAACATTAGCCATAAGCGCTTCATCACATATTATCAATTTTGCTTTCCTTATAAATTTAGCATTGTTGCTCTGCTATTAGTTCATCTCATATTCTTATTATTAGTTCATCTCATATTTAAAGATTTAATCTTAATTATAATTTTATCCACCATAAATTTTCTTTTCAAAGTGTAAAAAGATCGATCTGGCATTTCACGTTTAGATCTTTATGTTTGCAGAATCATTAGTGGTATTGACTCTTACCAACAATTTTTCTTTCTATTTCTCACACATTTATATTTTTAAATATTTTCTTAGTTGTTGTTTAATAATTTGGTATATTTTTCAATAATTGATTAAAAATATATTATTTGATTAGGAAAACAGTTTAAATATAATATAAAAATATATTATGGGGATATTTTTCTCAATTTTAACGGCTTGTGCAGTCCATTTAATATTACCTTTATTTTCCCTTAGTATTAGATATTATGGAGTGGTAATGTAGTGTCAATATGGAGAATTCTCATGAAATTAATTTTATTAAACCTTCCTACATATTTTTAATAAGAAGTTAATAGATAAATTTAATTTTAAAAAATTTAATAGAAGGTCATGTAGTCCAAAAACTATGTTATTTTAATTTAGTTATGTTCTTTACCTATGAGTTTTTATATTTAATATTTTAGTATTATTTTGGTCTATCAATATTGTATTCATGTTTTATAATAATATAGGCTCTCCTTTTTCTAAATGAATTTGAACAATATAATACACTCTCAAATTAAATAGTAATAGCACATCATAATAGGTTTTCAAATTAAATTAGTAATAGAAATTTTTAAGAAGTATATCCTAAAAGTAATAGGATTACATGACTTAAAATATGTCTGTATCCCAAAAGTAATTATACTAATAGAAAATCTAACGTGTTCCCAAATGTATTAGGTTTACATGCTAACATGTAGTATTATATGTCTATGCTCTAAACTAATTATACTAATAGGAATCCTAAATGTAATCATGTAGGATTCCTAACTTATAGTATTATGTTCTAAAACTAATAAGATTACAAATGTCTAGAATTCCGGTTATGTCCTTTTATTGTGAGTTATTATGCTTAATATTATAAGGTTATTTTTGTAAACCGACAATATATTCAGGCTTTTATAATAATATAGATATAGATAGATAGATGAATAGATAATATAGACATAGATTATTAGCAAAGTCTAGAGTTTATTGTTGGAATTCCCAAAATACAGGTTTAGCGGCCTAAAGGTACAAATATAATATTACTTTTAGTTGAATTCAAAGTTTTAAATATTTGATTCTTAAATATTACAATATTATCTAATATTAATTACCATTTTTATCTAATATTATCTAATATTGAACTATTTCTTAAAATATTTTATCTTTCAAATCATAAAATAAGATCAATAGCACATAATAAATTCAATTCGAATAGAAGTATGCACAAGAGTGTTATTTTCTTTGTGGTTAATTATCAATAGAATTCATAAAGATATTTATAAAACTTGAATAGGTTTGTATATCATTAGGTTTTGGAATGTAAGTTGGAATCCTATGAATCTTCCTACACAAGGGCTACATTAATATATTTTTGTTGGAAAAAAAAAGCCTAAACTATATTAAAAACCAAATCGGATACAAAAGGAAATATTACAATTATGTCCAATACTCTAGCTATATTTNCCGAAAGTAATTATACTAATAGGACTCCTTAAGGATATCATGTAGAATTCCTAATGTGTGATATATGTCCTAAAACTAATAGGATTATAAGGCTAATGTCTAGAATTCCGGTTATGTCCTGTTATTCTGCTTAATATTATAAGGTTATTTTTATAAATCGATATTGTATTCATGCTTTTATAATAAATATAGATAGATAGATAAATATAGATATAGATAGATTAATTTATTAACTTTAATTTTCATAAAGACAAAAATTAATTATCGTTGATTTCCTTTTCACCTTTTAATAAATTAAAAGGTACTGATCAAAAGCATCACGACCTTTTTGGATGAGCCAAAACCTAATTTGTAAGACGACAAAACATTTTAATAGGAAATTTTACGTTACAATCTTTTGCTAAGACCCAATAGTACTCCAATTTAGTCAACCAAAATACTATAATAAAAAAAATCTAACGTATAAGGTTTACATGCATGCTAACATGTAGTATTAGATGTCTATGCCCGAAAGTAAGTATACTAATAGGACTCCTATATGTGTGGTATATGTCCTAAAACTAATAGGATTATAAGGCCAATGTCTAAAATTCCGATTATGTCCTTTTATTGTGAGTTATTATGCTTAATATTATAAGGTTATTTTGGTAAACCGACATTGTATTCATACTTTTATAACAATATATATATATATAGATATAGATATAGATTAGATACTTCTCGCTCTCCTTCTTTTTTTCTCCTTTTGTTGAATGTAGAAAATGTAAATGGTTCAGAAGAAGCATGTGAATATTTGGGCTCATGCACAATTAATGAAGATTGTGAACAACCATGCAAGAAGTTGGGCTTTGGTGTGGCTTTATGTGTGCCTAATCCTAAGTTTGGTTCAAGTGGAAGTGTTTGTTGTTCTCCTTTTCAAAAAAAGAAGAATTAACCCAAGTAGTCGCTCATCCAACCGTTAAAACTAAAATTAGTCGGAGAAGGTCTTTATGAGAATATTTGTTACACATTTCTTTCTTAGTCATAAAAATAATAATTTCATTGGGAATAATCAAATAATAATCTCATAGTGAATAATCTTTTTTTCTTTTACTAATATCTCTTTACTGGGCATTGAATTTCTAGTGCAGAGATGCACTTTATAGTGTACTTGTGGTATTATACGACAAGCTCTAAAAGAATATATTTTGTTTTTAGTTATTCCTTTCTTTGGCATTATATTCTTCTATTAAATCGGTTTTATGATTCATTATCGATGATATTTTTAATTGTATGTGTTTTCAAGAAGGTTAATGTAATATATAACATGAGAGACCTACTAAGAAATTTTGTAAAGATTAATTTTATTTTCAATTTAAATTGTAACCGGGTCATAGGAAGATTAAAGAAATTTTAGTATTAAGACCAAATATTGAATATAGTGATAAATAGNTAGAGATTGAGCGAGATCCAGGGAAGCTTACCGAGCCAAATAACGGAAAACTGAAATATCGCAATCGTGTGAGGATCACGGCGGAAATTTCGGCACGTATCAAGAAGAGACCGATTAATTAGCTAATCATGAGATTTCTTACTATCTTTAGAATTGTATCAAGGGTAGGATCTGAGCATTTGTAAAACATATCACATTTACGCAATAAAAAGCAATACACTGCCTTTCTCTAGTTTATATTATCTTGTTATTCTGTTCTTATATCGGTTGAAACTTCACTTGATTCAAGGGTGATCGAACTCGAGGGCCAAGGCTATTCAAAACGTTCGGTTTGCATTTATTTCTTTTGCAGCCCAATTCAATATTAATATCTATCTTCTTAAATTGTGCCAAGTTATATCAAGTATCCTTAAAACCATGTGTAAATTCAATTGTTATCCGATTTTAGGGTAAACAATAGGTCCAAATAAAGCGAAATGAATTGAGAGAATTGAGGCGGCCCTAATGCGATAACAAACGTAAAAAAGAACAACAACAACAACAACATAGTGTAATTTTACAAGTATAGTTTGGGAAGGATAGTGTGTACGCAAAGGCGGATCCAGGATTTAAACTGTATGGTTCAACATTTAAGGTTCTTAACATTGAGCTTATTATATCTTTGAAATTATGAGTTCATATCTACTATTTGATGTAATGCTAGTAAATTTTTATACACAAATTTATGTTCCGCATCGAAAGTTATGGGTTCAAATAAACCCATAGATATAAAGCTACATCCGCCCTGAGTGTACGCGAATCTTATCCTTACCTTGAGCAATGATAGACCCTCAACTCAAAGCAAACTTAATCATAGCAATTTAGAGAAAACGCAAACAAAATGAATATCTTAGTAGAAAGTCGTCCTTTTTTAAGGGTAACTTACACAAATGTCCCAAATAAATCTCAACTTACCAACCTCTAGCCATTAGTCATAGACTTACCAAAACTAGCCAACAAAAATTGAAGAACCAAATAATAGGGTTCTTTCTCTCAAAGAATCACATGCAAAAATCACCTTCCATATTTTTAAGCGTGATTAGCAACATTAGATACAAGACGGAAAGGAAATTTCATGGACGGGGTAGCAAATAAGGTGATGAAATATAAAAATCTATACAATATTCCAAAAATCTAAACAAAAAAGGATCTTTTTCAATGGGTATATGAAATTCATTGAAAAAATATAGATAAGTCAATATACAAAATTTGAGGAAGATTGGAGGTGATTTGGACTGGTTTTGTATCAAAATTCGTAATTAAATCGAGTTCAAAAAAGTTTTCTGCGACACATGTATCACACATGTATTACACACACAGGTATACATGGATATACATGTGATACACAATTGATACAAATATGATACATATGTGATACACAAATGATACACATATCATTTTTTTCATGTTCATCTTTTACTTCGAATTTTCAATTCAAACCACCTCAAAACTTCACCAAATCATCCCAAAACTGAGGTTCAAGCTCCTTAAGTTGTGCCCAATCTATTCTAATAACACCCACTCAAAACAAAGCAAAAATTTGATATTTTTTTGCTACAAATAGCTAATTGGCTAATTTGGCTAATATTAGTAATATTTTATCAATTGGCCAATTTTTGTAATGAGCAACTTATAAATGGACATAGCTGGTAATTTCCCCTCCATAGGTGGATTTGATTAGTGGGATTAATAAGTTTAATACATAAAGGAAAAAAAGAGAATCTAAAATGATCCTTTATATTTAAGAGTATGTCTAAAATAGTTCCTTAAATATAAGGTTTAAGTCATTTTGGTCCTTTAATTATCATTCTTAAAAATTTCTAAAACCCTCGCCTTAAACCCCAACAGAGACAACAACATCGTCTCTCTTTCTCTACACAATGGATCCTTCAGACAACAACAATGTCTTCAACGACAACTCCGACATCTGCGAACAACTCCTCCAACGTTACACTAAATCCTCCGCCCCTCAACACCGCCACCTCATCGCCACCGCCGCCGCCACCCGTTCCATAATACAATCTGAATCCTTACCCTTAACCCCATTTTCTTACTTCGCAGCCACAATCTCCACACTTTCGAATAATTCCCAAAATACCCTTGACCCACAAGCCTTATCTGCTTTATCATCTTTCTTAGCTATTGTTCTTCCTTTAATTAAGGATGTTTCTTCAGATAAAGCTACTGAGGCTATTGGTGTAATTGTGGCTATTCTTGAAAAGCAGCCATTAGAGAGTGAGGGTGTTTTGGGGACTTCTACTGTGAGAGCTTTTGTTAAGTGTTTGGGAATTTTGGTGGGGTTTTGTGATAAGGAAGATTGGAGTTCTGTGGAATTGGGTTTTGAGTCACTTGTAAAGTTCTCCATTGATAAGCGTCCGAAGGTTATCCCTTTAAATTGTACCTTACTGTTGGTTATGCATATGTAGATTGTGTGTTTATATGGAGTGTTTGTTATTTGAGTTATGCTTGTTGAAAAAAACTCGAATCTTTAATTTGATTTTGCTATGGTGATTCCTAAATGTTAAATTTTGCTAGTTAATCTTGCATAGGCTAAAGCTTGCTTTTAAAGTGGAGAAAGGTAGAGGGACGAGCTCATTATTCAAGTTCCTCGGTATTTCTCGGTTATAAAAATAGTTGCTTTTTGGCTTGGTTCATTTCATGAGCTATTTAGACTTGCATTAGGTTCAGAAATGATAAAAAAAGGTTTTTATCCCTTGAGATTGTACCTGCTTGTGCTTATGATGCATATGTAAAATTGTCTGTTTATACCGAGTGTGCTTATTTGAATTATACTTTTTCAGTAAAAAAAGAATCTTTAACTTGATTTGCTATGAGATTACTGAATGTTAAATTGGTTAGTTAATTGGTCCCACGACTTTGGTTTGTTCTAGTGGTAAGAGCGCAACGCGTGATGTGTGGGTTAGGAGCACGTCGCTGGTTTGAAGTTCGAACTACAATAGCTTGGTATTTAAGCGGAGAAGGCAAGGGAGCGGACTCGTTATTCCCCGAGTTTAAAAAGTGCACCACTGTACCTCGGGGATTTCTTGGTCATAAAAAATTAAGAGAATTAGTTATGTACTTAGTTAATTCATTCCTAGAAGTTACATTTTGGCTTCAAGATCAAATTTCTGATCTCAGCATCAGCATAATCTGCTTGTTGGCTTGGTTCATTTCATGAGCTACTTAGACTCGCAATGAGTTCAGGCGTTTGAGAAATGATCAAAACTTTTGGCTTTTAGTGACAACTTGGCCTTTAACTCCTGCCCAACCAATCAAAAATGTGATTTCAATAATCTTTGCTTAGTAATTTTACTATTTTAAGCCTTTGAAATATTCCGCCTTCTTAATATGATATATGATTCTATCCCCTTTATTGTTTTAGGTTATTTTCGGAATACAAACTTAAAAAAATTGAAGTAACCTATGCATTAGGTAAAATTGAGCTAGTTAGCTAATGATGTTACAATGATCTATATTATTTTTGTTAATTCACGTAACTCTGATTTTTCTTTGCTACTTGCTTGACTATGTCTATATAAGCGTTCATTTGATAATATTTGGCTTAACATTGATAGTGTTGTTACAGGGTGTTAGTACATTAAGGAATTGTAAGAGGCTGGCGTTTTTGAAGGGATTCATCCTCCCATAGTGAAATATAGAGAAATAATTGATATTTTTCTGACATGGTGTTACTCGTATGATTTCTTTCAGGTGAGGAAATGTGCTCAGGATTGTATTCTAACTGTTTTCATGTCATTTGGTTCATCTTTGGTGGCTAAGAAAGCTGGTAAAAGAATGTACTCCTTGATAGAAGATAACATGACATTGGCAATGAAACTAAGTGCTCCAAAGGAAATAAGTGGACCTAAAGATGAACATCAAGAGGTGCTTCACTCCCTAAATATTCTGAAGCCTATTATACCGTACCTTCCAGTCAAAGTCAATCAGAAGCTACTTGCTCAACTAGTGGAGCTTATGAGTTCCCAGAGCTCAGCATTCACAAGACACATTTTTGATAATATTGGGGCAATATTAGATGCTTCAGGAGTTGAAATCATTCTTCAAGATGCTGACAACATTATAAAAGGGCTTATATCATACATATCGTCTGCGGAGAACCCTGTTGACAATGTATTGCTTGCCGCATCTTTGGCAAAAAGCATTATTGAGAAAATCCATGATGGAGGAATAAGTGTTTGGATTACGTATTTGCCGTTGGTTGTTGGCTGCATATCAGGTACTACTCTAAGGATAAATTCTACCCCATTTTGGTTGTGTGAGATCTGAATGCTCCTCTTCTAAGTCCATTGGTAATATGACTCTTCATATTTTATCATGAAAGGATTTGCCCCAACTGGCTGGACATATTGTTTGATCAGCTTAGTCTGGTTATCTTATTTTATTTGACTTGACTAAAGTATGTCGTTTTGAAGTTGGTCAACTGAACAGCAAATTTAGCCGGCCATCCATTTTTCAGTTTATGACAGTCTTGAAATCTAATGAATGTGATGAAATTGATAATGAATCAACAAAAAGGCGATGTAGGAGCGTACCTTTCTGGATCTAGCTCGATCTTTTACCTATCAAATGACAGACGTGTCTTTGATAACTATAGTATTGATAGGGTACCTCTATAACCACGGCGTTCGCCAAGTTTTTTTATCACTAAGTACAAGACTCCATTGCCAATATTTATGTGGGGTCATTGTTTTTCCATAACTTTCAATAATTGATAAAACTACGACGCTACGAGTACCATCCTTCTACATAGTCGAGTCAATTAGGAAAATGCTGTTCTTTGTTATTTGGAGAACATAAAATTTGAGTTCAGTGGATTTCAAGATGAGAATAAGCCTTGTGACATTACTATCTATGGAAGATAGGTTAATCTACACATAACAGGTAGAACATATCTTTTTAGTTTAGTGGTTCTCAAATAGTTAACATAGTGAAGCTTTGATTTCTCTAATTAGTAAGTTCCATAGAGCCAAGTTATGTTCACCACTAACTTGCTAAGGTTCTCTTTAATATCGTTCCCTTAGCTCTTTGTTTTCTATAAGTTAACAGCTTTATGTCTGTGATTATGTGATGCTTGGTGCTGACATTCTCAATGTTTCTTCAGGTCTTCTTACACGTCCGGAAAATATTGCTTTACAGTCTTCAAATATTTTGAAAGAACTGATCATTGCCCATATTGATGGGAAAAAGTTTTTGACTGGTAAAAAGCAGGCAGTGGATGATGAGGCTCTCAACATTTCTGAATTTGCAGCAGTGAAAGCTATTTGTTTAGTCTTTGAAGATCTGCTTATCAGCTCTTCTGAATTCCCAAACGACCATATCTTGGCAGTCCTTTCCGTTATTTTCCTTAAATTGGGTAGGTAGACACTGACAACCCTCGATGGAGCTTTCAGTAGTCATTACCTGTCTTGCAAAATCTTGGGGTCCTAACTAAGGACTGGCATCTGTGATCAAACCTCTCTTAGTCGCTCGTGTAGAATAGGTCTACATAAAGTTCTGTTAATTTTCGTTTGAATCAACTAAGTGTTTTGGTAAAAAGTCGGTGTTTTAAATTTTACAGGCATACATCATTCTCACTTGGCATTACATGATATGTGATTTCTGCTTCACTTATCAGATTCCCCTTCAGAAATATTGGACAATGGAAAATCCTCTCATTCACTCTTCATCTGACCTCTGGTTTCAAAACATACTCTTCTTCCTTAGGGTGTAGTTTGTATGACACATAAAATTATTTTGTTGGAACTGTTTTAATCTGGTGAAATTCTTTTGTGATGGTTGTTATCTTAATGTTGAAGTTAGATATTCCTACACCTTATCTAGGAGGATAAGTCCTTCTTTCTTACTAGTGTCTCAACTCTTAATCTATATCACTTGCTTTTGACAGCATTTTCTTTCTTCTTTTCAAGAATATTGATAATCAATAAGTCCACCAGATTCAAAATGTAACTTGCTACTTATTTAAATAGAGACAATATAAGAGAATAAATATGGAGGGTAAGAAATAGCTTGGAAGTGGTTATTTGCGATTTGTAGAAAGATACAAGGCAAGTGAATTTTTCTTCTTGTTTTTATTGGTTGGTACAAAGGTAGGAGATGATCTTACATATAAAAATAAATAAGTTGCTCAGGAGGAGTGCTGCCATTTGATCTACAAGCTTGATGGAGTTGAAAGGAAAATTCGGAAGGATAATGTCTTAATATTTTATGATTTAATAAAGGAGTAAAAGCAGAGACCAAAACCGCTAAACAAGAGTTTATAGCTTAATTTGGAACGCGGTCCTTAATCTCTGGTAAACAAAAGGAAAAAAAAACAAAAGTGAGGAGGACGAGTATTGCATCGAGAGATTTCTTTCGAAGCTGTAAAGAGAAGTTTTCCCAGGGTCAGATTAATATTGTGGACAATGGAAACAATGGCTTTTGAATTATCCCTAGACAATTTACATATTAGCAAGTATCAGTTGCTATGCCGTTCTATCAATTTTCTCTTTCACATTTATTTGTTCTCATTGTATTTGATCTATGATTCTAGGTGAGGTCTTGGACTTATGCGCGAAAGGTCTAATACTTAAACTTGCTGATTGGATGGCTGTTGCTTCTGGCGGTGCTTATGATACAAAAAATGTAAGTCCTCGACAGGCCTTTGTTTGTGTTACAAGAAGCTCATTTACTAACATCCCTTGGCTGAGATATTTGTGATTTGTTTTGGTTGTTTGATATGGCTAAGAGAAGTAGATGAGATATGCTCTTTCAATTTTGCAGTGGCTAAAAAACTAATATGGAAGAGTATTTAAGAATGATTAGTAAGAGTGATTGCTTTATCTTTTAAACTCACGTGTTGTTCAGAAAAGCAATGAGCCTAAAATCTTTGTAATTACTTTTCCTTTCTTTTCTTTGCAGCTTCAAGTGTGCATAGGAGCAGCTGTTATTGCTATGGGGCCAGAGAAACTGCTTGCCCGGTTACCCATCACCCTGAATGCGAAGGATTACTCCGTTTCAAACACTTGGTTGATTCCTATTCTAAATAAATATGTATGTGGATCATCGCTAGGGTTCTTTATAAAGCACATGGTGCCACTAGCTGTGTCCTTCGAACAGGCATCATCAAAAGGTAGGCATATTGTGATAATTTATTAAGCTTGGCATGATGTTTTTGGTTGTTTTTGTTGTGACCCAAGTGAAATCCTGTATAATCATTTAGCTATTTTAATCTGAACTCTATTGCTTTTGGTATTTCGAAAGATGCACTTGAATGTTCTTCATTATGTTAAATCTCTCAGATGAGTAGGTCTTTCATGTTAGATCCTTTTACAGTAATGCTGAGTTCTGGAACTATACATTATTGTTATGTTAAATTTTGTGCTTGTGCAATTTAAGTTTGAGTGTCTTCGATTAGTTATTTGACAAGCTCACTCTGTTTAATGTGATTCTTATTTCTTTTCCTTCTTTTTTTTTTTTTTCAGTATCCATTTGGTGTAAAATGGCCTTTATTCCTATAGTAGTGCAGTAATTTTTTTCTTGTAGCATTTACAAGTATTTTAACTTGTATATTTTGATTAGTTTTTACCCTTGTATGTTTGACTTGATGATACAATTTAATGCTATATACAAATAGCATGGTTAAAGGAGAAATAGCAACTGTTTCTATAACTATTAAGTAGCAAAGTATCATTATCTTTTCTCTGATGGGGAAGGGTGGAGATGGCATCACCTCAATTTCCTGTTTTAAACTTAAGAGTTACATCAGAAAGATTCTTTACCTACATCTGGAATTAAGTTCGTTCCTTTTGCCAGTTAAAAAGTCAGTAATTCGGGAAGAACTGCAGGCTTATGCCCGTGGATGTTGGGGGCTATTACCCGCCTTTTGTCGCAGTCCATCTGACGTTCAGAAGAATGCCCAAGCTTTGACTACGCTTTTGATCCCTTTCCTCAAGGAGGAGTCCTTTATGCTTGAGAATATTTCTGCAGCTTTGCAGGTTCAGTTCAGAGTCACTTTTAAGTTTTTTAAATAGTTTTACTTGTCTTCTTGAATGACCATGCCTTTCCTTGTTTGGATTTAAATAATCAGCTGTGTCTTTTCTCATAGGAACTGGTCAATAAGAATAAAAGTGCATTTGCATCTGATAACTTTTCTGAAGACCTTATAGTTCCCCAAAAGGAGGATGAAAATCTGGATTTGGCATTGGAGTTCAAACGCAAATGCTCTTACTCAAAGAAGTCCGCAAGCAAAAATATTAAGGCTTTGGCATCTTGCTCTGAGGAATGGCTTCAGGCTTTAGTAAATGTCTTTTTTAAGTCATCTCCTGCAAATTACCAGCAATTCAAGGTATGTATTATATGTTAGTTGAACCAAAAACAAACTGTTCTTTTCTGCTTGTCATTTTTGCTATTCATCTTTGTTTCTGTTTTATTAGCTGCGTGAGAACTTGCCATTCCCAATTAATATATTCTTACATGCACTCGAGGTTGGTTTAATACATAAAAAACGGGAAGTGTTTCTAGAAAGGAAACATACGTGTTCTGAGGGAAATCACTAAATATAACCTTTGTTAAATGAAGATGCGGTCAAAGCTTAAATTTTTGGTGTAAGGCTTCTTTTGTAAATGATGTAGATGTAGTACACTGATGCTACCATGAACCATCTTGGTGCTGTTGATAGTGATTAAAATCTATCTTCACTTGTCCAAAAAAAAAAAAAAAAGGAAGAAACAAAGAAACAAAGAGAAAAAGGAAACTAAAACAAAGAGAAAAAGGGAACTAACCTCTCCCTGTTCTCCCCAAATGGTGCACAATTATTTTGCCCTCTGTTCTCAATTTGGCCCAGTCCGACACATTTTGGAAATTGCCATAGGTATCGTTGAGGCCCCATGCAGACAATTCCGTTAGTTCAGCACTTGCTTCTCTCATAATTCGTGGGACATTTTAAATAGGGATTTGATATGTAATCCTGAACATAGGTATAATGGCATTAGGCAAAATGTCATCAGCCATCTTTACCTGGTAAATCAAGTGTGTCTAGATACATGTGATATTTAACCCATAATTTTGAGGTCGATTTCATTTGGCGTACGTAGCATTTGTCAATATGATATTTGTAAGCTTTCTAGTTTCCATGATTCAAGAAAAACTTGTGGACAAGATTCAATTATTCAAGAAAAGCATCTTCTCTACTGTCAACATTTGTTTTTCTCTCTTTATCCCTCCTCCTGGGGTGGGGTTTGGACTTGTGCGTGGTTCATGAGGACTTTAACTTGATCCCAAGTAAACTCTTCACTTGGTTGAGGTTACTGACATTCTTCTAGGTGGAATTTTGTGAACGCTTGCTGCAATTCTTAGTATATATTTTAACAAGTTTGTGGAACAATATTGCTTGCCAAGATGCTTCAACTGTCTTCCTTATTTTTTGGGGAAAAAATTCTCAGGAGGCAATAGAGTGCTTGACATGCATCAGTGATTCTTCGACAACCCAAAGGATCTTTACTTCCACAATGGGGAGATCCGGGATTATGAATGATTCTGGTGAATACAGGAAGCTTGGATTTCATTCTGATGGCTCAACAGACAACGAAGAAAATAACACCACTCTTCTTGGGGAAGTAGCTAAGAGGTAACAACTATTCAACTTCACTTTCCTCAATTTTCCGTGGACTATTGCTACTCCTGTGTTTTGTTGTCTAACTTTCTGTATTGGACAAGTCATACAGAGAAAAGGCACCTTGCTACTTTCTTTTCCTTTTCCTTTCCCTTTTCCCTCTCTGAATTTGGCAGAACTATCCCTTCTCAGACACCATCCTGTTTGGAATGGAAGTGGATGTATTCTGATATATATTAGTTAGCAGTCGTACTTTTTTCTCCATAGTGTTTAAAGGTGCTAGAGATGCAAGCTTCTTGCCCCTCTGGAAGTTGCTTGCTTTCTGTTTGATATGAGCTACTGACTCAGTTAGTTAGTAGTTGTTTTTAGGTGAAGAAAAGATAGATCTTCAATGAGTTTCTTGTCATTTTTTACTCTTTTATTCCTGTACTAGTTGAACCTTTTTTTGGTGCAGCTGTATCATCATTCTTCCGAGCATGTCTTGTATGTAGCTAACTCAAACACAGGTTACCTCATGCTGCTATTTTTTGCGGCTTGAATGCAATTTAAGTGAAAGCATTTGAATTTTGTGGCAATACTAAATGACTGTTCACTTTCACTCTGTAGTGACCACCCCAAAATGACATCTGTAGCATGAACAGTGGCATATGATTTTATGACACTTCAAAATGGAAACTTAACCTTTTGCTGCATATTGGTAAAGGTGCTTGGTCTTGGAGCTGGGATCGTGCTTTGTTGAAGGAGCTAGCGAGGATCTCATTAAAATCTTTTTTGGCATTGCTAAGGATGTTTTGGAGGTAAGTTGGTGTCGATGGCTGCAGATGATCTTATTGATCTAGCTTTCCTCACAGTAATGTTGATTTTATGCTTGTAGGCTACTCATGGGGCTGGTCATCTTGAAGCATATCACATTCTGAATAGAATATTAGAGGTCTGTTTTTAGTAGCTGTTGGAATTTTCCTTCCCTTTTGTGGTATAATCACCTGATTGTCTCGAATTTATGTTGTTTTAGCAGAAAAGTTCCTGGTTTCGCTCTTCGCATGTTGAGCAGCTCATGGATTTATTGGCTAGTGTAAAACCTCCAACTGATGTAAAATCACTGGAGAGTCGCTTTGCCTGCTATAAAACCTTGTTGATTGATTCAATACAGGTAGGTTATCCACCACGATGGGTACTTTAAAAACTCCCTCAACAACAAACATGACTATGATTCCATATGCTATTGCCAGGGGAATTTGGACGAGGAGAACACGCAGGCCTTTCTCATTCTGAATGAGATTATTCTCACATTAAAAGATGTAAGGGCTACATTTAGGTTCTTTTCTGATTGGAGTACTATTTGATTGGCCAAATTATTTCTCCAAGTTGCTGCATGGTTTTAGCATGGTTTTTTGCCTCCCATTTAGGTTCATGACGTCCTTCTTTGCTGTCTTCTTTTTAGCCAAATTGTCCTATTTAAATGTATGGAAGTGCTAAATAGAGAAGTCTTGTACTTCATGTAGTTTACTACTTGTAGCACACTGGAACATATGGCTTCATACATAGGCATTTAGTCCTGTCTAAATGTGGAAAAACCAACCTTGGCAAAAGAATGAACTTTGGAAGCATTTCCCGGCCAAGTTTCTTCTTTGATTGGAATACAATTTAATTGGCGAAATTGTTTATCTAAATTGCTGCATGGTTTTAGCATATCTTTTGCCTCCCATTTTGGGTCATGACTTCCCTTCCTCTTTAGCGTCTTCTTTTACCCAAGTTGTCATATTTACCAGTGTTGAAGTTAATGGCCTTACTGTGGTTGCTGTATATATTTTCTTCTTTTGTGTGGAATTTTGCTTAAATATTCAGCACTAAATAGATGTTACTTCTTGATAAGCTTAATAACATGGCCTTATTCTTTTAATGCAGTCCACGGAAGAAGGTAGAAAGACGGCCTATGATGCCCTTATCGGTGTGTGTTCTAGCTTGAGAGATTCATCATCTGTTAAGTCGAATGAATCTTACAAGAAGTTCATTGATATGGTTAGTAACGAAAAATCTGTGCAACTATTTTGTTCTTGCATTTGTATGTTTACTGGCATCAAAATATGGGTATCGTTCATTGAGACATAATTAAATAAATAAAAATATGTTCTCCACAGCCTAAGCTTTTAGATGAGATATCACACACTTCAACATGGTAAGAGCAGACAGAGGTCCTGGGTTCGAGTCTCACCAACTCTCTCTCTCTCTCTATATATATATATGTGTGTGTGTGTGTGTGTGTGAAATAAATTCCACGTGCTTGGCGAAAAAGAATCAAGCCCTATCCTGAGGAGGTGTCTTAATAGGGCCCAAGTAACAAAACTTTGTAGAGAGAAATTTCTTGCTTGAGCAGAATTTTGTTTTAATTTTGCAATGTTCTTTTCATGCGGGCGTAATTTTTGGACTAAATAGTTCACATACTCGTGGAAGCATCTAGTTTCTTTGATTCATGTTTTGGAGGTTTAAAAGAAGCTGTAATATGCAGATTATAGCTTACCTTTCTGGTTCGTCACCACATATAAAAAGTGGAGCAGTCTCTGCACTCTCTGTTCTGGTATACAGTGATGCCGATATCTGTGTCTCAGTCCCTGATCTGGTCCCTTCCGTTCTGACTCTGCTGCAGAGTAAAGATGTCGAAGTTACAAAAGTAAGCATGTCTATCCACGACAAGATACTATTTTATTCTTTGATGCTTCTTATAAGCCTGCTGTTTTAACTTGTGCAGGCTGTTCTGGGATTTGTTAAAGTAATGGTATCGAGCATTCAAGCAAAGGACCTGCACATTCTGCTCTCGGACATTGTCAATGGAGTGCTACTCTGGTCATCTGTGTCACGGCATCATTTTAGATCAAAGGTTTGTGATGTTTCTTTGATCGGACATGGAACTAACAATGTATATATGAAGCATGACCGCGTATTATCTTGCTTAAAATATGCTTATGCTTATGAGTTCTACAGCAGGAGCACGCCATCCCTTTTGTTTTGTAATTAGCTTAAAAGCACCTGTTCCTTTTTTTTTCTACTTAGATTAGATGTTTATATACTTTTGAAAGACGCAATATGTCCTTTATTGACAAAGTCGATGTTTCTTGCCATCTAAAAGGTCACAGTCATCATGGAGATCTTGATGAGAAAATGTGGAGTTGCCGCAGTTAAGTCAATTGCAGCTGAGAAGTATAAAAACTTTATCAAGACAGTTGCAGAGGTAAGTTTCTTGTTTCAGACCCGCAGACAAGTTTTTGACAAATGCTATTAGTTTTTGGTGAGGGACAGCCATCATGGCGGTTCTTGTTGCAAATGGAAGTATAATGCCTGAAGTGTGATATCAAGTGTTCCTTTCATCCTATTGACATGGATGTTTCTGTTCGCTGTTTTCTTTTTGACAGAATCGCCATGGCAAGACAAACTCTAGAGAAGATGGTACCCCTGAGACAGAATCAACACCTTCGGATTCAAGGTTCGATCCTTGTGCTCATCTTACAGGATCTTTTGCTTATTTCAGATACTTCAGTAAAAAAGTTTTGATCCGACTATTTATCTCCTTATAGGCAGCGGAAAAGGAAGGATAGAGAATCTAGTGATTCACTCAAGGAAAAAGACTCCAGGGAACCTTACAAAAGGAAAAAGAGAAAGGAGGGCGGAAAGGATTCATCCACGAAATTTGCCAAGCAAGGTGTCACGGGAGGTGGGAAAAGAAAAAGGGAGATGAAAATGAAGAACAACACTGCTGATGAACCTTATTTCTCTTCAGGCAGCAGTGCTGGTAAGAATCTGGTAAAAAGAAAGAGAGAATTCAGTTATCACAAACATGAAGGTGATAAAGCACCACTACAGATGAGAGGCGAAGGAGGCAAATTTAAGAGGGGCTTCCCGGGAAAGGGAAAGACAGAAAGGCAAAAAAGGCCAGCTAATGATGTACGAGGTTCAGGTGCTGAACACAAAAGGGGTCAGAATAGAAGGCAGAAAACTAATAAAAATAGTTAACATATCGGAAGAACTTTTCGTTTATTCACTTTTGCAAGTAAACATCGCATGGGGGGAGATGAAGAGCAATCTCTTATTCCGAAGTAGATCGAAATGATGCATATCTTCTGCTCGGGAGATGTATTCAGTGCACCAGTGATGGATTTTCAGTGTCATAACAGTTGCTGGCATCGGAAGATATCAAGAATGTGTCAATGCACAAACCATACTTCATATGGTGCAATGTGCCTTGTATACCATCTGTTCCTAAGTTCTGTTCTGAGAGCTTAGTGGCAATCAAGTTTTGTTTTATTTTGGTCACAGTTTAGTTGCAATTTTGTATTCTACAAAGGGTGAGTGAGTATTTATTAGGTAGTTTTCAACAATCTTATAAGATGGCAATCTTATATCCATTTGTATCTCCCAGTCGTAGTTGGGAACATAAAGTTTGTTGATATAAAGACATGGTACAATTCTATTTAATTTTGTTTAGAAATGATATAGAATGGGGTGGAGATACTATTTCTGAAAGCGGTATATTCTTGGACTTGTCACCTTTGTGTTTATGACCTAAGTTGCTCGGACACGGGTATGGGTGTCCGACACGGGCGCGGATCTAGAGGTCGGATCCTTCGAGATGTAAATTCTAAGATTCGGGGATACGGATCCTAGTATGGATACGGGTGGGGATCCGGCTAAAATTAATTCAAAAAAATAAAATATAAAAATATCTCTAAATTTGTAAAAAATTTAGTGGAATACTTACGTATAGCTTGTAAAGTGTGGATTTCTTTTTTGTTCTCAAGTTGTAAATAAGTAAAGGATTGATATCGTAGATAAGGTATGTTCATATTTATCCTAGTTTTGGTTCTAATTTCGGAATCAAATTGTATTGTATCGAATTTTTTCGTCCGTTGTGGTCAAAGTACCCAAAAGTGTTTGACCAAATTCGGTACGGATCCCATACCCACACCCATACTAGTGTCGTGTCGACACGGGTGCGGCACCTAAACTGAAGTGTCGGAGCAACTTAGTTTATGACTATATTTTGGTGCAAGTGCACACATAAGTCATTTTCAGGGATGCTATTTAAAGATTAGCCAACATCTTTTTTGTCCAAAAATTTTAAACTAAAAATCCTAACTTCAGGACATTTTTGTCCTGAAGAATTTAAAGGAATAGCAGCCCTTCAGAATGACTACGTGGTGTTATTTCTACCTATTTATATTTTCATACTAGTCCAGCCTATTTGACCCATGCTTTATAAATGAAGTACCCATTATTGGGTCTAAGTTTGAAACTATTGCAAAGTTTGATTCTGAGACGACTAACTTTTAAATACCATGTAAATTTGGACTATACTTTAAATAAACAGAAAAGTGTCAGATATCCTTGTACTATCGAAAACGGTTTAAATATATCCTTCGCTATACTATTTGGTCATCTTAGACCCTACCGTTATATTTTTGAACAAATATACCCTTATTTTGGATGGAGTGCCACGTAGCTGCACCAAACAAATATACCCTTATTTTGGATGGAGTGCCACGTGGCTGCACCAGATTAAATCGACCTATCCCCTTTTTAAACCCGATTCACTTAAATGAAACCCGATCCGACCCAAAATCCACCCCATTTGAAGACCCTACAAGGTTATACAAAAGAACTGAGAATGGCCGGTGAAAGATGAAGAACATCAATGGCTTCTACTAAAGCTTTGACAAAAACCAGAAAATCCTAATCCCCTTGTATAAGAAGGAGTAAGAAAATAGCTGAGAGCTCAAAATGATGCAACAATATCAATCATACTCTGTTTAGTATCTCAGTACCTCCCTGATTCTTCGACAGACTTTGTTTCTCCAAGATAGTTTGGAGAAAGGAATAACCAACTTAGTGGTTACGTTTCATCAAAGTTGAAGACGTTTTAGTTAAACAATAACCAGAGAGAGTGTAAAAATAATTGAGTTAAGGATGACTGATCAATAAACTTTTGGTTGTTTGAGGATTACATTCAGGGGAAGGTTAGTACTAGTACTAGAAAATGGACAAAATTCCAAACGGTCAAAGCTTTAGTTGTAATGTTTAAGGGTGGATTTGGCTTCTGTTGTTGGTTGCTAATAGATAGCATGATTGTGGAATCTGTTATCATGAACATATCTTGAATACATGAGCATGAAACGATATAGGGTCTTCTTTTAAGTGGGGTGGATTTTTGGTCGGATCGGATTTCTTTTAAGAGAATCAGGTTTTAGAAAAGGATGGGTTGATATAATTCACGTGGTACTCCATTCAAAATAAGGGTATATTTGTACCAAAGTATAACGGTATGCTCTGAGATGGTCAAATAGTATAACGAAGAGTATATTTAAACCATTTCCGATAGTACAGGGATATACTTGACCCTTTTCCGTTAAATAAAAGTCCTAAAAGCCAAAAAATTGCATAAATTTAATACTTTTTGATGTGCTTTTTAACTTCTAATTTTTCTTGCCCTGTAAGTAGAATTTCAAGTTTAACAAGTGTTGCATGTAAATGTAATAAAAGAACTTCAAGTTTAAAGCCCCATAGGCAAATTTTAATCCTTTTATTAGTTTATATTTAAATTAATTAAATTGTTATTCTTATAATATATTAACTAATCAGCATTTTGTTTTTTATTAATAAATATCAAATATCAAAAGTTTTTAAACTGCATACCAAATGCTATACCGAATAATACAGTCTTTTAAAATACATACCCAATATCTTATGGAATATTGAATTTTTTTATTTCGACATAATAATTGTGCTTAAACAGGGAAATTGTAAATAGTTAAATATAAACCGCGACCAATTATACCCCTATACTATGAGAAAAGGTTTAAATATTCCCTTCGTTATGCTTTAGGTCCAAATATACTTCTGCCGCAATACTAGTGGTTCAAATATACCCTTCTTCTGTTAAGTTTGTCCAAGGTGGACATTCAATCATACATGGCACTGATATTTGATGAAGTGGATGCCACATGGTATGCCACCTCAGTATCACTGATCCATATATAAAAGACCAAAAGTTGAAATACACTTATTTTTCATGGTAGTGGTAATGGTGGCAATAGTGGTGGAGGGAAAAAAAAGTTAGTGGTGGAAAAAAAATAGAAGGGAGGGGTAAAACAATTTGTTTGGATGGTTGTTCCCCATTGTATTGTATTGTATTGTTATCCCAAAACAATGTTTGTTTTGATTGTTTCATTAAAATTGGTTGAATTGTATTGTTAAATTCATTGTTCCGAAACAATGAAAAGTCCCCTTTTTGAAACAACCGATTTGGTGTGGTGAGACTGTTTCCTATTTTTTTTCATTTATGCCCTAACTTATTACTCGACAATTCTATTTTAACATTTACCCTTTTTTTTTTTTTCTATTTTAACTCCAAATCTCAAACCTATAACCTACTTTGTTTTTTTCCAAAACTTCTGCCGCCAACGTTAAAGGTGTTTTGCCGCCTTCTGTTTTATTTTTTATCCTAATTTGCTTTTAACTCAATTCTAATTAGTTGTGCTCCTTTGTTTTGCCTTCTTCTGTCTCGGTCCTTTGTTCGGCTTTCTTAAGTTGTTTTGCCTCCTTCTGTTTTGTTTTTTAAAATTATTTTTATGCATAATTTTTGATAAATTTAATATTTAAAAAATTGAGGGTATTTTAGTAAACTTATCAGTTACAGTTAAGAGTGTTAAGCGGGCCGGGTTGACCCGGTTCCGGACCGGCCCAGACCAGTAGAACCCGGAACCGGCCCGGACCGGTAAGAGGGGGCTGGGCTGGGCTGGGTAGGGGGTTGGGGGGTTGGTCCAGTTTAGTTCTTTGAAACGGGTAACCGGCCCGGTTGACCCCGAAAGAGTGAACAGTAACTCTTACCGGGTTAACCGGCCCGGACCGGCCCGATTTAAACGGCTACTTTTTTTTTGTTTTTTTTTTAATTTTCAAATTCTGTGGGCAAGAAATTGAACAGGAAAAAAAGAAGGGAAAAAATGGCAAGTAGCAGTACTTGTACATGTTCTTGTAGATCCATAATTACTGCAAAATCAAATGTTATTAATCGATTTGCAACACCAAGAGGATTACAATTGATTTTCCCTGGAAACCCTAGATTAAAGCAAATACCCAGAATTTTTGTGGTAAGAGCATCAACAGTTGATAGTTTCATCTAACTTTGTTGAACGCATGGAAAAAGCCTTGTTGATTTCCAAGGTATTTTTTTTTACCTATTTGTATTATGTGTTTTGTTTATCTGTTCATATTGTCAATTCAATTATGTGATCAGTCAACTATGTAAACAAGGGCATGGGCGAAGCTATATAGTCCTGAGGGTGGTTCGTCGAAAATTACACTATGTATATAGGTGAAATATTGCATTTTAGAGGTATATATTTAAAACCCTTGGTGAATTTACTTGTTGTTAAAAATGTAAACGTTTCAATTTGTAAATTTAAATTATGAAATAAAAGTAGCACTTGCAAATTGCAATAAGTGTAATTTTTTCCCATCTCCCTTGTATTCTTTATGTTAGTACTTTGTATTAATATAACTTACAATAGTTATAAAAAATTCCAAAAAAAAAATTAAAAATACACTAAACCCGGCCCGACCCCCTCAACCCGTAACCCTTACGGTTTAATTTTTATCCAGATGAACCCGAACCCGTTAAACCCGTTAAGAACCAACCCGGAACCGGCCCGGACCGTAACCCGTACGGGTCCAAAAAATAGAGGCCCGACCCGGCCCGGACCACCCGTTAAACACCCATAGTTACAGTACAGTACGATACAGTCAAACCAAATAGCAAAATATTATTTAACAATAACAAACAATACAATCTATCCAAATATTGTATTCATAAAACGATACAATACAATACGATACAATACAATACAATACAATACATTATAAAACAATGGGGAACAATGATCCAAAGAGAGTGTTATACAAACTTAACGAAAAAAGGTATTTTTGAGCCAATAGTATAAATATAACAGTGATACATTTACATTTTCTTATATTTGACCCTTTTCCCAAAAATAAATAGAGTTCAAGATACACAATAGTGAAAATGATTACTTTCACCAAAGGTTTATCCTCAAAACAACACAACACCAAAACCCAAGACTTCAATGGCTACCATTCAAAATTCTCAAATCTTCCCACAACAACCAAATCCCACATTCAAAACCCATTTCAGAACTGTTATTACTGTCTGCAAAAAGCAGCAAAAACCCAAAAACAACAAACCCTTTGAGGAGAAGAAGTTAGCTTCAGTTGACTATAACAAAGGGACACACAAAGTTACTGTGAAAATCAACGGATTTCGCAAATCTGATTTGCCTAAACACCAAAAATTACGGGTCCAAAGTGATAGGTTTCAAAAAGATTGGGCCATTTCTGAAGTTGTGGAGAAGATTATGAAGCTTAATCCTTGGGATGATGATATTGAAGGTTTATTGAATTGTTGGGTTGGCCGTTTTGAGAGAAAAAACTTCCCTATTCTTATAAAGGTGATAAACTTT